GGGGGGGGGCGGGAGAACTCTAGTCTAGCCTGCCCTCTAGTGCTTTGTGGAGCCAAGGAGCGGCTCCTAGTGTGATCACTAGAAAAAATCTTGGCACACCAATGGGTATGTGGTGCTATAGCCAGAATGTTTTGAACGTTGTACGAGCAGCAGTCTGTCACAGATGCCCTAACCAGTGCTTCACAATGTCAATTCTTTATTTAAAGGCAAGAAGAAGCGAGGGTTTTCTACCTGGAATTGTAGAAATATTGCCTATAAATACAACAGGGTCATGATTTAAAGGAGCCAGGCTCTCCTTTTTTATTAAGGCATAGTTTTGCAAGTTGACTCTCCACATAAATCCCAGATGTGGCCCCTGTTGGCTTAATGCAAACACAAATACATAATTTTTCCCTTGCCCTTATGTCTAAAGGATGCCTAAACATTAGTGCACATCTAACTCGAAAATGTTACGTATAATTCAGCTGGAATATATACCAGTGAAAGGAGGATCTTGATTTACAATAACTTGAGGTTTCAGTGCCAAGACTGTGGGTGTTTGTAGCAGCACACAGATCTCTGCAACTATGGCAATGAGAAGAGTGATAATGAAACTCGCTAATTGGAAAAGGAAATTTTTAAAACCTAGAGACACAAATGCACACATTAATACATTAATCTGTCAAATTTTCAAGTGGGTAGCTGGGGTGAAAAATACTTTCCCAAAAAAGGCCCTTTATTTCTGTTTTGTGAGAGCATTTACACTGACTGTCATTGATGTTACTTTTTTTTTTCCTTTATCAGTATTTTTAGAAATTATTTAAATAAAAAGATTGTTGTCAATTTCTGATTGTTGGTCTTTACTAGTGTAATGAAAAATGTACTCTCAGTAAACTAATGAAATCTGTGATGAGTTCAGTGGTGGTTTCACTAGTGCTTTTATTATTTTTATATATTTAATATAAAACCACATATATATGTATATAAGCATCAAATCCTTATTAAAATATAAACTGGATCCACTTCACATAATTTGAATTAAAATCAGCTTCAGTGTTTGATTTTTTAAGTAGGTTTTTGGACCATCTAAAGAAGGACAGATTGTTTCCATTTTTTGCCAGGGAAGCAAACTAGCACACGTAGTCCCTATTCAGGGGACTCTGCCGGCTCCAGCTCCTCTGCTCCTGTTTCAAGATCCATAACAGTTATTTCTCCTTTTTACTAGCCAGACCAGTGAAACCCACACCAAAAACCTCTGTCCGACCTTGTTTTCATACAAGACATTAAATCACTTAAAATACATAGAACTGATCATCCTCGGTCTCTCCCCTGCATCTTTGGCAGATGGTGGTCCATGGGCAGAACCTGAGCCAGGGGCAGCCATGAGTCCCAGGTCCTCTCCCAGCAGGATCTATTGTGATCCCAGACCACCCACATCTTCCCATCACCATCTACCTCAGTGGGCCCCAGCCTGCCCCCACACTGCACTTGCAAATCAGCTCATGCACTCCCTACACCTTTCAGGCAAGCGAAGTTGGGTTAGAAATTGTTTTTCAAACTCATTTTGACTGAAATGTGTTTAGGGGGTAGTCACAGATGCAAATGTCTGGAGAAGAGAACAGACCCAGCAGCGGGGGCAGCACAGCCTTCACTCAATACAATAACCAAGAGAAGAAGGAGAAGGGTCAAGGGGGGGATCCAGCCCTCCAGTCATGACCAAAAAAAAATCTAAATCTGACCCCTCTACCTGAACTCTATTCCTCATCCATGGGGAGAAATTAGTTCTTGTAACATGCCATTTATCCAATCTACTTTAGAGAAACGAATGTCACTTCACCATGCCTGTACTTGCAAAGGTCTGCTGCTGGCCGGAGGAATCCCCTTCTTCTGCCATGATGAGGTGAGGAGAAAAATACCAGGAGGTGGGAGCTGTGTGTAACCCTGTGTTTAAGAATTTTCCTGTGCAAACGGATTTGTCACATTTTTCATTAAGGACAACAAGGCAGATAAATGAGCCTTTAGTAGATGAGATTTAGTTTTTCCAAGTATTAAGTTGTTGCAGCTCTTCCATAGGAAACATTAATTTTCTCAGTCACTTTTCCATTTACAGCAGTCAAGATACAGTACTTGAGATATAATGTGTACTAGACATAATATGCAATTGGTGTTCCCATTGTGTCTCAGCAGCAAACAATTAAGGGTTTTCATCCTTCCTGTAAAACATCTCCTTGAGTGTAAATAAAAATCAGAGCTCAGTCCCTCTTGAGGAAGGATTATGCGTATGTGGCAAATGTATTTAACAGCGCCTCGCCCCCTCTGTGTGCACACATGTGGCTTGTGTTTTTGGTCCTAACAAATAGCACGACTGCAAAATACTACAGATTTCAGGCAAACCTGAGGATAGCCTAACCCGTTATCTACAAATTTCTTTCTCCCAGAACCAACACTGACAACCCACTGGTTCTTACTGTTTCTTTCCCTTAGATGTTTCTCCACCTCATGACTTTTTTTTTTTTTTTTTTGTTTGGCCCCATAGAAACTCTTACCCCCTTCCTTTCAAGTCCTACACACACGTATCATTGAGTGCTTCTAAACTTGGGATCTGAAGCCGCTTGCAGGAGGGAAGATGTTGAAAATCCCAGCCAGATGAAAATACAACCTTCTAGTGATGTAAATTGATTCCAGCTATCACTTATTACTAATTCTAACAAAAATAACACAAGACTAATAATTTCCTTAGTAACAACCCTAGACATTAAAAATTATGACTTGGGACCTCAGAACATTGACTGAAGCTCTGTGAGACTTTCAAAACCAGCGTTTTCTTTCTGTCATGGCCTTGGACATACATACTTTCACTGTTTTTTCTACAACCAAGAGAGTCAGGAATGTACCCTTGCTTTAATGCAAACTGAGTTTCTGACCTCAGCATATAATTTGGGAGCTAAATTTTTAATCCTCAAACTGATAATAATTTTGAAAACACTGACAAAACTACTGTCTTTTCCAGCCTTTGAATAGTTAATGCATCCCACAGAGACTATTAAAGCCACTGACTTGAGAGATACTTTGGAAAATTCTGGAGCATGTTGCAGACTGGTTCTCTTTCAGAAAACTTCTGTAAGACACATCTCTGTGACATCTTGTCACTACCCTTCTATTCCTTCTTTCCAGAAGACATTTTCAAAGAAGAATTTTATACTTCTCTGAATATTTGTTTTCTTGAATCTTAGATCATTATTTGCATTATCCTGCTTTCCTTGGGCAGTAGGCAGATTTGAAGTCAGATTTTAAATAGTGGAGGATAACATCAGGATCAAATTTCCATGTCTATGTTGCATACTGTGTTGAAATAACTAGGAGCTAATAGGAGCCTTATAAATGAACTAATGAAAATCAGCCAAAAGACAGAAGAGATGGGGAAAAAAAAAAAAAGAATCTATTAGCATTATCTTGAAATTTAATCTTGAATTTTGGCTGCCCTTTTTTCAGGTTAATATAATCAGATAAGGCTGTGAAAATACAGATAGTAATTAGCATCTTTAACTTGGAATAAATGAACAAGTAATTCAACACTGGGAATATACTCAGTTTTGCCGCTGTTTGTGCAGAATATGACAAAAGATTAACTGTCTCCTAGGTTTTCCAGTTGTAACTGAGAACTATTTATAATAATGGAAAGCCTGTAGCATTTTATCTGACAGAAAATAGTTACATGATTTCTCTTGTGTCTAGGTACAGTGATATTTCATGTATAAAGAGCCCCCATTTGATAAACCATGAAGTAAAACAGATATGTGATAGTATTTTCTCATTTATTCAAAACCAGACATGCTCATAGAGGCAGTTCAGCATAGCTGACTACAGAATTCCTTTACACCTTGACTCATTCTCATCACGGCAACTAGAGTGTCACAGCATTCATTTTTATGCGCTTTAGGAAAAAAGAGGAGCTTTGTATTGAGAAATTTATATTACAATGTATATATATATTTCCTGCATTAAAAATCCTCATTTGCAGCTCAGGGACCTCTGTGCCCCTCTTGAACATCCATCATTCACATGAATTTGACTGCTGTCTCTTTGCAGGCTCGTTGATCTTCCCTGATCTGATCTGTCTTCTTTCACCTAATTGGACAAATCTAAAATGTTTTGTCTCATCTCAGGCTAATTCTTTGATACCTCCTTGCACAGCATCTCTTCCCAGCTTCAGCATAGCTACAACAAAGCTATCTATATCTTGTCCCTCAGCCCACCTCAGTCTCTGATTTCCCTGTCATCCTGGCCCGCCTTTCAAGCTCATAGCTGGAATCTTCAAGTCAGACAGTCTATGTCCTCTGTTGCTGAGGTGCTTGTTATGTCTGGCAAAGTATTTCTCCAGTTGGCTAAACCTTTTTCTTCTCAGTCTTGGATATTGCAACACAATGTTCTCCTAGGATATGGGATTTCTACGTTCCTGCTTCCACACCAAACGTGTGCATGCTAACCAGTGGGAATGCCTCCTGCACCCCAAGCTAAAAGTTACTGCTTTTCCTTCTCCTCTAATTGTTGTCTCTTGCCACGAGATTAATTCTCTTAAACTGGTTTCAGGCATTGACTGTATTATCCTTCCATGGCTGTACAGCACCTACAGCAGCAGGTTTCTGGTCCTTGGTCAAAACTTCCCAGCATCCTGATGGCACTAACTAGAAATAGCAGCAACAACAAACCCCCATCAGAATGGCTTTCAGATTTCCCATCTACCAGTACCACTGACACAGAAAGATCCCTAAAGACATACAGTTTCAGCTGGCATGGGCTGTCATGGCCACAGCCCTGCCCTCTCCTCAGTCTCTTGTGGGTCCTTCCTGCCCCCCACACCATCCTAGGACGTGGTAAGTCAGTCTGGGGAGAGGAGCCAACATGAAAGCTGGACTGACGACAAAGTTAAGGATCCTTTCAATCCAGGTCTGCTCCCGCTTCATGGCTACCTGGGTAGTTTCACTGGTAAGAAGTGGGAAGAAGGTATGAGGAGTGGGGAGGGGACAGAAATGCTCCTTCCAGCACCAGTGACAGGTCACATCAGCTGCTGTTTGTAGGGTTACAGTCTAAAGGATGATGGAATCACATGCAAGGCTGGAGTCCCTTCCCATTTCTGTGTCACTTAACATCTAGTGCCACACTAGAAGCTGTTAATGCCTTAGCTGAGGCTCCAGTTAACACCTACATTTAATTAACATGACTGAGCACAGAGTATAGAAAAGGAGACCTTTTCAGCTGTCAGTGACAAATTGACTTCTACATTTGTGAAACAGTTGTTCTGATCTCTTTGCCCTCAGATCCTCTTCCTGAATTTAAATGTTAAAGGAAAACATTTGTTAAAACAATCCAAATGGAAGTTTCCTGGTTTTTCAGTAAACACAACTTCAAAGTCACAATTCATCATTGATGAACCCTGTATCAGGTTTGGCTCTGCTCCACTGTGCTTTCCTGACAAGGAAGTCAAAGAGATGGGGGACAGGAGGGGATTGATTTTTATTTTAATTTTTGAAATGGATGGGGGTGTTGGGGTAAATCTTTTGATTCAGCAAAAAGCACATTAATAG